TGCAGTGTATGACACTGGGAAAAACCCTGGTGGGTCACTAGGAACATGCTGTTTTAGTTCTAACAGTGCTTTTCCCTGTTGCGATTTCCTTTTCTTCATGCCCCAGTGTAAAATCGATATATTAAAAAAATGCACAATGTAAATTGATGTGAGAAAGGCTGCTTTCTCTCTCTCTCTTCCCCCCCTCTCCCCCCTGCCTGCTGGGCTACTTGGGTCTCAGACAAAAAAAACATTAGAAAGAAAACCACTGAGGTATTATTTTCAACTTTTTTAATTCAAAAAATATAATTGACACATCATAAGCTTTATAAATTGAACTTGCATTGTTGTTTTTATAACAAAGCACATAAAGAAAACAACATGAACCATTTTGAAAAACATTTTGAATTAACAACACAGCCTAAAACTATTAGTTTCCTGGTTTAATTCTCCCACTTAATTTTTTTCCCTCAAAAATTTTAAAATTTTAATCAAATTTTTATATGACTTCGTTTTTTATAAAATTAATTTTGATAAAAGGATACATTTTCGATTTGTTTCTTTTTTAAATAAAGATTTATCAGTATCAAAATACTTTTACAATCACAATCATTGAGTGTAAAAATCTATTTCATTGTTAACAACTCTCTAAAGTGAAGTCAAGCTTACAACGCTAACCCTTATACAATAGGCTCTATAGCTATGTAGAAATATTTCAGTGACCCTATAAGAACTCTACAGCTCATACAAAGGTAATGAAATCAATAAAAATCTAAATAAAACAGCTATGGTTGTGATGTTTATAAATGATGTTGTTCCTCATTTAGACATCTAAAAATATATAATTAAATAGTTTGGAAACAAACTAGCGCAGGTAACCGAAAATAAAAATTGTATAAGACACATTTAAATACAAATCACAACTTCTTATTCTTTACACTAACCTATTTTCTTAGCAGAAGGTATTCATGTACAATAAATAATGTGTCTATGTTGATATAATGTTTATATTTTTTATATTTTTAATGGTTTCCTAGCAACAGAAAATATCTTGTAGCAAAAGTGCTTGGTTCATAACAATAGTTTTTTTACCAGTGTTTTTTGTAAATTAAATGTATTTCATTTTAGAAAATTTAGTTTATGACATCCATCTAGGTTTTAAATATGTACACAATATGAATATATCACAGTCTGACATTTCAAATGACACAGGGATCAATTTTTTCAGTTTGACATTTCAATTGTCACAGAATTCTATTTTTTTTAGTTTCACATTTAAAGTGACATTTAAAATGAATTTAAAAAAAAAATTAAAACACAAAAGAGGGCTTTGTATACAGCTGTACACACAAAAAATTATCGCAGTGCACTTCAATCAACCAGGATTACAGAAAAGAAAAAAACTATTAAAAATTGTGTTCAGGAATTGAGCCAAATTCAATATTTATACAGACCATATTTTTTTTTTGGTTTAAATAATTTTTTTAAACTTCACCATAAATAAATTCACGTTGCATCTGATGTTTATTTCGTTTCAAGAAAAACTCCTCTGTTTTAAAGTTTAACTGAACACATTAAAAGCACACTAAAAAGATTTTGTTAGGACATGATGTAATTTACAATCCAATTTTGTCAGTCTCAAAAACTAATAAGCCCGTCATTAGATTAGCTAATCAACTGCTCAACCTTTCAGGTCATATTAGCATTCAGAACTGGTCTACATAAAGACTTACATGTCATTTTCATTAATACAAATTAACTATTTATTATAGCCTAAAGGTCTAACTTGTATATTAAAAATTAACAATATATCTGAAAAAATTTCTTTGTGATTGTTGATTGTTTGATTGATTTTGTAAAAAAAAATAATCAAGGACTAGAAAAATTAGCTCAACTAAATCTAAAATGAAAACCTACCAAATTTGTTTAAAACATAACATGTGACTCATAAGAAGCTTACGCAAACTAGATTCATAAGACTTTTTAAACATAAAAAATGTATGCGACTATACCATATACATAAAGATCTTTGGCATATAAAAAATCGTAAATATATACAAAGATCTTAAGTGAACAGCAGTAGTTTGCATTTAGCATGAGCTTGCAAGTTAAAATACCCTTGAGCTTTTTCAAATATTCATACAGTGAAATAGTGGTTATGCCAGCATATGATTTAGGATTTAATAAACAAGAAAAATAATTACTATAAACAAAAAAAAAAAGTGTGCATGTCAAATGTATTACAGAACAATAAGTAAAAATCTATTACTTAAAAAAAAAAATTCTAGAATGCATGATTATAATCTGCTTTTAATTTGAAGAAGTTAAAATGTAAATTTGTTTTAAAATCAGAAGATTTCGTCCTAGGTCATGGTAAAGAAAGGGCAATTATAATCAGCTTTATTGTAATGCCCTTTAGTAATTAATTAGAAGTTTTTGTTTTGATAAACTTAAGTTTTTACAAACTTTTCACTCACTTTTAAATTCTATTAATGATAGACTAATTTTAAGTTTTTCAACAAGCTCTCAAGACTGAAGAAACAATATATCAATTACAAAACTTGACAAACCTAAAAAAAAACTGAGTATAAAAAAATTATGAGATTTTCTTATAGGATGGACGGAGAAAATTTGATAGTCTCCTAAATCTCCATATTTCAAATAAATCCTAAAAAGTAAGGGATCTTGCACAACTTTGTGACTTTGTATAGCATGAAGCGTGGAATTACAAAGCATTGTGATAACAAAACACTGTCTTTATCATTATTTTTGCAACATGTCTGCTACTTAGAATGGTTTGATGTTTTAACTGGCTTATACTTTCACTTTTTATAACATATTGTAAGGTTTTATAATTTTCTATAAAACAATATGATTCCCATAATTTATTTTTATAAATAGCTTTTGTAGTGAAAAAACTGTATTCTTTAGGTATAGTATAGGGAAGGCTATGTAATATTTTGTGTCTATAATGCCCCATCTTTTGTGTTATAATAATATGTGCATGATCCCTTAAAAGTGTCATAGATCTATTCAAATATATACTAACAAAAAGTTTTTAATAAATCATGATGTTATAAGCAGATTTAGAACAAGATTAGCAGATTTGAATTAAAACATAATTTTAACAATAATAAGCACTCATCTACTTTTTGATTGTAGGTTGGATTCAATACATAATATTATGATATTATTATCATAAGTAGGTTTATGTGTGTCGTTATAGTTACATTACTTGAAATATTTTAAGTTTAACTAAATAGTTTTGTTCTGATACATTTTATAAAAGAAATAATTTGTAGCAGTAATATCTTACAAGATATCATCATACAAGAAAGCAGTAAACTTAATGTGAAAGACAAGAAACAACAATTTGCATTATGTCAAAGGATTTGTTGTTCATGCTTTTAACACAAATTAATTCCGAAAAATTTACTTTAAATATGCAGATTATGCAACTTGAAATATTGAGCAAAGAAAAGAAACACTAGTACAGATGGACAATTTTTTAAAGTGCTAGATTTAATGTATTTCCACGCTTAGAAGTTAAATATTTTTAAAAAATTTAAACTTTACAACTAAAATAAAGTTTACCCTTCAAGTTATACATACTTAAAATGAGATTTTTCATACAATTTTTCTTTTTTTTTCCAAAAATGTGAACCTTTATAACTAAAATGAAGTTTACCCTTCAAGTTATACATACTTAAGAGTTTTTTTCATAAAGATAGTAAAAAAAATAAAGAAAAAAAAACAATATTGCCAGGTGAAACAAAAAAAATCAGGGAAAAGAAAGTGATCACAGGTTTGAGATCTTGCCAGGATTTCCTGCAGCCCCACAGGAAGTCATGCTTAGATAAAAACAAAACAGGAAGTCACCAAAAGTTTGGTGTATATGTATAATATTTACATGAGTCTTTTTCAACTTCATTTCACAAGCTTACACAAAACATCAGACGAGATTTTTTTTTTAAATGTAAAATTAAAATGGATTTAGGAGGTAATATAAAAAATAATTCACACATACCTACATTAGAATTTTTTATAGTTACAACTTAAGAAATATCAATAAAAATAATGTAAAAAGACATTCAGCACAACATTTGTCATTGCAGCTAGATGAAAAAAAAAATTGTTTCATAGAAACTGTTTTATATAGCAATAATCACAACAAGGATTTGCATAGAAAAATTAAGGTCACTTGTTATACAGGAGCTGAACATTAAGGCATCGCACTAGAAATATATAAAAATAGTTCATCAATCTAGTAACATCTGATCAGCAACATAATTGCATGTAATGACATGATGCACACAAAAAAGCAATACAAATATTATCACAATATATAGGTACATTTAGGTTTGTTTATGAATGTATTTCACTATAGCAATGTGTTGTTTTGTTGATGAAAGTTTCAATCTTAAACAGTTTGGAATTTGAAGATTGCTACTGATGTCATGTGGTTTAGGATAATTAATAAATGTATCTGTTCCTTAATTAATAACGATGATGTGTACATCTCTAATTGCTACACCACGGTGGGATAAAGTTATTTGGTTCATTTTTCTTCTTTACAGAACTGACCAATAAAATAATACCACTAAAGTTGGTACTGACCAATGAAATCATGTAGTACCTCTAACAAAGCACTGACCACTGAAATTATATGGTAACTCTAACATACCACCAACCAATGAAACAATATGGTACCTCTAATATAGCACTGACCAATGAAATCCAACCTCTCACCTAAAAACAAAACTGACCAATCAAATCATACATCAAACTTTTACGGATTCAATTCATAAAACAGCACCTTTTAAGAATACTACTTCAACTCTGGGTTAATGCCCATTTTAAAAATTTCTAAAAAAAAAAAATTAGAATTAATGTAACAATTATGTTACTAATAAACTTTATTTACTATTTCCATCCCATTTTTAACAGACTGAGTTGAAATTATACACTTTCCCTATACCCTATACCCCCCCCCCTCAAATTTTTTTAATTGAAATTTTTTTTTTAATTTAGGCTTAAGAACCAGTCACCATGGAACATTTATTATATATTGTGATTTTAAACATTGTGTTTTTAAATTAAAAAAAAATAATGCTGTTCCTGTACACTGTTGAAAGAAAACAATATAAAAGTACGAATAATCCTGAGTTACATTAAGTCTTGACTTGTGGCTTAACTGTGTCCATCGACTTAACGAGATTCATAATCCATTCACACGCTGATAGCAAAATTATTTCTGTGGTGAGGTTAAGAATTGTTTTTTAAAAAGATTTTTGTGTTTTTGGAATTCTTTATAGTTTTTCCGCTGCGAAGAGATTTGGTCGGTCAAAATTTTGCTGGAGTTTCTATCCAAGTTTATCCAACAGGAGAAAATTGTTGACAGAGTTTATGGCGGGGTTGGTCCATCGTCAGGAATAGAGAGATCAACATTTGTACCTGCCATCAGGTGCTTGTGGTTTCCATCTAGAATATCCTGGTGCTGTTGTTCAAAAGGAAGATCTGAAAATGATGGGGGTGGGTGTAAATAAAAGTATTCAATACTTCAAACCATGTTGACATGGGAGAAACTATAAAGTTATGGGTTGTGAGCAGAATAAGGGGAGACAAGTTGTATGGTCAAATCAGTTTCTCAAGTGGTTAACTGAATCACTTTAGGCAAATGTGGCAGACATAAGAATTTCTATTTATTAAAAGGAGTGTTATTATGACAGATCTCTTGTTGAAAAAAAAAGTTAATTAGTAAGTTGAGTGTTTACTTCAACATTAACACTTTTATTTACTGCACATTTTTTAAAACATGCTTACTTCATTGCAAATTTTTTTAAAATTTGCTTACTTTTAACATTAATATATATTTTTTTAAAGCCGCTTAGTTTAATAAATTAATTGCATATTTCTAAAACTTGCACACTTTATATCACTTTATTGCCTATATTTTAAAACTTTCTTTTTTTAATCATGCATTGAAAAAGATGATGGGTCAAGAGTCCATCTAACACACCAGGCCTTTAGAATTTGTATTTGACACTAGTGTCACACCTGGCCTTTGGAAAATGTATTTCATACAAATGTCCACCTAATACACCTGCCAATTAGAAAACGTATTTGACACTACTGTCCAACTAATGTACCTAGACTTATAAAATGTCCATCACATACAAGTAACATAAGGTTCAGATTCTGAATCTGGACACAGACTTACCGAGGTGCTTGTGTAAGAATGCCAGAGATGCTTCTATGCAGGTAGACATGGCCTGCGCAGGTGCTAGAGTGTGACACACATCCATCAAACGGCCAAGCATGTGTGGAACAATAAACTGGAAGTCTGTCATACTTTGGTGACAGCCACCCCTACAGAAGAAATATGTGTTTTTAAATTTAGGGTCATTCATATTCCTCAAAATAAGACGGCTAAACAAAATATCAAATAAAGACTTGTGGGTCATTCATATTCGTAAAAATAAGATGGCTAAACAAAATATCAAATAAAGACTTGTGGGTCATTCATATTCGTAAAAATAAGATGGCTAAACAAAATATCAAATAAAGACTTGTGGGTCATTCATATTCGTAAAAATAAGATGGCTAAACAAAATATCAAATAAAGACCTGTGGCAAAACACAAAACAGCCAATAGATAAGGACATCAAGGCTCGTAAATGGGGATGGATTGGACATACCATGGGCAGGGAAGAAGATAATATAGTAAAGAAAGCTATGACTAGAATCCTGAGGCAAGAAGGAAAGTAGGCCGGCCTAAGAGATCATGGAGAAGAGCAGTAGAAGGTGAGGCAAAGGCTGCTGGGTTCACGTGGGTGCAGATAAGGAGCTGCCTAAAACCGAGTCCAGTGGAGAGATGTGATTATGGCCCTTGCTCCCATGGGACCCAAAGGATTAAGTCAAGTCATTCACATAGAATGTAATTTTAAAAACATTTTACTTTTGCGTTGTCTATTCTTTACAGATCTAAGCATTCTTTAATTTTAATAGTCAATGCTTTATAGTTATACATTCTTAAACACTTTTAGTTCATTGAAATTTTTTTAAATATTTATACAATGTAGAAATTTAATTTTTATTCTCGCTTCTTAAAGTGTCATTCAAAATTTTGGACTAAAAAAAGAAAGAAACAATGTGTAACTCACTTTAAAGTAATCATTGGTCTATCAGCATCTGGGTTGGCATTTTGAAAGGTGATCATCTGATTGACGTTCCTCTCCCACTGAAACTGTTCCATGTTGAGGAGAAGGCAGGGCTGTTTGGCTGTTTTATAAGCCCAGTTGTCAACAGCATGGAACCAGCCATCAAGACTTATCCCAAGCCTGGTTATACAATGTTTAACTTGTTAGCACAACATTTTATAGGCTATTCTTAACATGGAGTAATGTATCAACACATCTAAACTGGAATTACCCACATAAAAATGTTATATAATTATATTATTTCTTGGCTATTTTTAACATGGACTAATCTTGAAACAATACATCTCATTTGACATATCCCAACCATAGTCACAAAATAAGCTGATAATTAGTATCACAAAAATTCACAGTGAACATTAATTCACATTTAATTAATTAGTTTTGTTGCTCTTAAAATAGATTATATTTCCAATATTGTGAAGAAAAGTTAAAAGATAGTTAAAAGATACAAAGATCTAATCAACCACGCCTGATGTGAACAAACTGAACTCACTTGAACCTCACATCTGTTGCCAGAGTAGCTACAGTAGAGGCCCCACCAAATGAATGACCAATAACTGCAACTTTTGAAATATCCAACCGATCCTGTAAACAAAAACAATTACACAATTTAATTTTTGAATATTAAACAAGTTAGCTCTATAATAATATTTTTAGTTTATTTTTTTCAAAAATCAAATTGCTTAATAGCAATAAACAATAATATGACAACAAAACAAAAAGTCTTGAGTTGAATCCGGGTTCAAGTCAGTAGAACGTCCCTGTTCACTAAGCTCTAATGGGTAGCTAACTTAAGTTAGGGAGAATAAAAGCCCCTGGGCATAGTGCTGACCACATTATCCCTTCATATGTCGAGGTTACAGAAACAGACGTGCTAAACTTTACTTTGAACATCAGCTTAGAAAAGGGAATTCACCTAACATAAAGCAAATAGGTACAATTAAGTAAGATGAAAGTATCCACTATGTTATGCTACTCACCTTAAATTGGGTTGTGTTAAAGCCAAAGCCTAATATATTGTTGATGTGCTTTCCTTCATTCATGGAGATCAGCTGATTTAGCAAATCACTGATTTCATCAGCCCTATGATACATCTGAAAATGATCATGAACATTACTATTTAAATGTTTATTTAAACAATTATTTTTATCTTAGTAGTTTGTATTAGTAAAACATTGTCTCAATGATTTCTATGCTTCAATTTGTTTTTAAAGCTTTGTAGTTTTTTTGTTGTTTTTTTAATTAAGATCCATTAAGTTTTCATTGGTACATGTAAAAAGCAAATACAAGTAACTATCACAGTTTTAAGCATAAAATTACAACATAACAACAGTCTAAATTTTTTTTTTAAAGTATTTATGTAAACAAAAAAAATCTTTATAAAAAAACTTGCCTGTCCATTTCTTAAATCAAAGTCATCCCAAACCGGCACGTGCTGAAACCTCCGCCATTCCTCAGTGCATGAGTTATTGTGCCGCACAGACCTCCTCCGGTTCTCTCTCCTCTGTCTGACTCGGGACCCTCTACCCCCAGCACTCTCCCTGTTCTCTGTCCCCTCGTCCAGATAAAACTGGACTGCGCTCTGGACGCGGGTGTCAAAATTGTCCTCCTGGCTGTGTATGTCACTGTCGCTGTGACAATGTCTCTCAATGTGCACCTGCTCGTCAACATCTCGAATGCTGCTGTCCAGTTGTTCAGTCAAGCAAAGAGTCATTGAGGCGGAGCCATCTCTGTAAAATAATATTACCATTTATGGAATGTTATTGTTATTAAAAATTAGATGTAGATACGATCAAATTAATGGGTAAAATAAGAAAATAACAGAACATTAAGTTAAAAAAAATATAAATTTTAAAAATTTATTATTCATGTGCACACTTAAATCAAATAAAAAATGTATTAATTAATCTATGCCACCTTATTATAAAACTGATTAGTTAGAATTTTAGAATATAAATCATCCAAATTATGAGCATTCAAGAATTCATATTGTTTAATATTTACTAAGTTCAGTTTTGAAAAGTTCTATCATCTGGAAGCATGCAAGATAGAACAGAGCCTTAAAAAAATACAATAGCTTATGGAATCATCAGGGGGTGGTGAAGTCGAGCGATAGAGCACTTAACTACTAGCTTGGAAGTCCAAGGTTCAAGACCATAGGACATCTCTGAGACCACCAGCTCTGATGAATACCTGACTCATGTTAGGGAAAATACATGTGGCAGGACAAAGTGCTAAGGTAACTTCCAGGTTCAAAACAATTATAGAATCATTAGCTTTATGATAAAATCCTACCTGTGTTCAAGTGCTGCTACCACAAAGCCATGAGAAGCCAGCTCATTACAATATGTTGACAGTGTTGTCCTGTTTCCACCAATACCATGGGAGACAATCACAACAGGGAACTTCTCGTTATTTTTTATTAGTGGCGCTTGCCATAAAACTGGGACATAGACTTCACCTGCAAGAAAATAAAGCAAGCTTAAGGGGGTAGGCGGGAATAAAAAAAACTATTTTTAATACTCATTAGGAAACAATTCTTTCTTTATAGTTTTAAGGTACATCCACATATGTTTCCATTAAAAAAAAATTGGTTGGAAAATCTTGGTAACAACGGTTGCCATCTTAAAAAATGAACCTATTTGCAGGATTTCCACCATTCATCAAGTATTATATTCTAAGCCCAATATAGAATGAATTCATAATTGTGTACCATATTTTGGGGTACTCAGCTAAAAATTCTAAGTGCAGATCTTCTAACTAATTTATTATGAATTTTCAAATTTTGGAAACAAACACTAAATTTTGGGGGATTTTGGGGTCTTAAATTTGGAAAACTTACCCATAAAATTAATTATGAATTCAATGTTAATTATATCTTTATACTTAAGAAACATTAACTATAATTAAGAGCTAATTTATGAACATACCTCCAACTAAATTAGCAATCCTTCCAAAAATTTTATTTTTCTTCAGAAAATAAACATAACCATGAGCATACTGTTTCCTTGGTAACCACAGAGGCCATATTTTGTAGTTTGCCTGAAATAATAAACAAAAAACACTTAAACTTAAACAATGGGAGCTTTATAATATAGTAATAATCATTTTATGAAAAAATAACTAATTAACGAATACAAAATAACTTCATAAGAAAAAGTATAAATGCTTAAAGCTGTCATGACTACTTAAATATTATAGCGCTGATAAAAATGGATCAATAAAGCTATTGTCTTCCTCATGAAAGCTACATAACACAAACACAAGAGGACAGCACTGAGGAATTATTGTGTTAATTTTCTATGTGTGTCCTGTTTATTGTTTAGGTTTTGAAAAAAGAGATAATGTTGGGTAAATTTAAAAAAAAAACTGATATGCTTTTTTTTTATTTAAATTACTGACTTGAAGCTTTCAAAGATATTTTTTATGTAGCTGAGAAACATTCTGAGATCTGGTGGTGGCAGAGTTTCTTCCAGGCATCTCTTCGGGGGGGCGAAGCCCCCCCAAAAATTTTTTACCGCCCCCCCGAACGAAATGAAATTTATATAATTTATATAGAAAATATATACTTTTAACAGTGTCCGCCCCCCCGAAGAAAGTTTACCGCCCCCCCGAAGATTTCAAGTGCCCCCCCGGAGAAAAAAGTCTGGAAGAAACACTGGGTGGTGGGAACGTATAGTATGTTTCAAGGGCAAGGGTTGTCCATAAATGATGTAATGCGTTTTTTTACCCCCCCCTCCCAGTTGTTACACATTGTCACAAAAAGTCAGTACACCCCCCCCCCCCCCCCCCCACTAAAATTCCTGTAGAGGTTATTGTAAATTTCTAACATTGCTTTTTAAAATGCAAGAGTGTGTCGTCACAACCCCCCACCCCTTTCCCCTGTTACAAAATTTTGAACCCCCTCCCCCTTTTGATTTCATTTATGGACGCCGCCCCCCCCCCCCCCCCCCATGTGTTCAGTGAGTTGTATTAGTGGCCAGCATATATACAAAAGCTGATAAATGACCATACTCATAATGGGCGACTTAGTGTACAAGCACAAGAAACTGATCAAACATGACTCAAAACAACTATCAGGCATTCAGGTTATCATTGCATTGCCATTACGATTATCTATAATAATAGTTTCGCTGTCTCTCTATCTATCTATCTGTCTGACAAGAACGCTCTAGAGAAAACACAAGGAATTTAAAAACCTGCACAGTAATTCGAAAAACGAAATATGACGTCGACACATTTAGCGTAGAGTAGAACATAATCTCAAACCAGAGAGTGCACACAGTAATGTAATGACGTCATTGAAACATTGAAAAAAAGGAAATGTTGTCTAATCTAAATGGTTTGCGTGAAGAGTTTCTTGCATACAATTCTTCGGGTAGGGGCGAAGCCCCACCCCCGCGTAAGAACGTCTGAGGGGGGTGGGGGTGGGGGGGGGGGGGGGGGGGGTTGAGTGGGGGGGTGGTTTTAATTTAGACTTTTTCCTCCCCGGAGAGGGGTGGGGGTACTTGAAATTTTCGGGGGCGGGGGTAGAATTTTCGGGGAGGGGGCGGACACTGGAAAAAGTATATAATTATATTTTGTTGAATGGGACGGTAGACATGCTTTTTTGGGGGGGGGGGGTGGGTGGGGGGTGGGGGGGGGGGTGTGGTGGTGTGTGTGGGGGGGGGGGGGCGGGGTGGGGGTGAGTGGGGGGGGTGGTTTTAATTTAGACTTTTTCCTCCCCGGAGAGGGGTGAGGGTACTTGAAAATTTCGGGGGCGGGTGTAGAATTTTCGGGGAGGGGGCGGACACTGGAAAAAGTATATAATTATATTTCGTTGAATGGGACGGTAGACATGTTTTTTTTTTTGGGGGGGGGGGGGTGGGGGGTGGGGGGTGGTGTGTGTGTGGGGGTGGTGTGTGTAGGGGTGGGGGTGGGGGGGGTGGTGTGTGGGGGGGTGGTGTGTGGGGGGGTGGGGGGTTGGGGTGGTGTGGGTGGGAGTGTGGGTGGGGGTGGGGGTGGTGTGTGTGGGGGGGGTGGTTTTTGTTTAGAGAAAAGAGACAGCACTATCAACCTAGCGCCCGGTGTATCCTTCCTCAACGGGCCATTTTTCTCGTATTATTATGTTAGCAGACGGTTAATGTAGTTTACTGATGGCTATCCAAGAACAGGTCAATGACCGTTGTATAGATCTACTCACACAATAAACCTAAATGTCAGCCTCCTCATATACATAACTAACCTATGTCAAGATATCTATTAAAAGCAGCACAACCAGTCGTGAGGTTAACCGACCGTAGAAAAAAAACCCGTGCTTTTGTTTTCAGATTCCTTTATCCGGAACGGCGTAGAGAATGGCTAGCTAGTCAATATTTATCGGTTACCGGGCAGGGGAAAATAACTCGGTTGATTAGGTCGTCGGCTGGGTCACTGCGCGCGACAAGCGCTAGGAAACACGGGTTGCGTCATGGAAGAGGAAACAATAATCAACTGTCATGATATTTAATTAGTTTTTTTTATATTTGAACACATTTTAGTCAGATCTATTTTTAAAAATTAAAAAAAAAATTTTTTTGAAAAAAAAAACTATTGTTGACACTGCATTGTTTTTTAAATCGACTTTTCAAAGATCTATTTCCAGAGCTCTAGAGGAGATGCCTGAAAGAACACTAAGTTTGTATGGAGTAGAACTAGATCTAGATCTAGTAGTGTAGGGTCTAAACCTATGGTTAAATTATGCTCAAGTTTGAAACCGCGAAACTGTCTTCAGCTAATGTCCAGAGGCAGTAGAGTCGTTATGTAATTGTAAGGATGGTGTGGCCTAACTTTAAATGTTAAGAAAGGATTGTCTAAAAATGTCTTTAATTTCTAAAATTTGTCTCTGTAATTGAAAGAAGTTTTAGTTGTCTACCAGTTTTTTTTTAAATGTAGTGTTTTGGTTCATTGTTTTAATTCATATGCATATTTTTAGGATGAAATTTAATGGTTAGTTTTGAAACAGTGTCATCTTTTAGTTGTTTTTGTGAAACCTGTTTGAAAATTCATAATGTTCCAATTTAAACCGCTAGGTAACTAAAATGTTTAAAAGTACTGAATGAATGGTTGCACTTTTTACAAAATTCTTTTATATTGACAGCCGCTTAAAAAGTTAAAGGTCAGCAACGGTTGGAATCGTGACGTCACGTGTGAATCGGCGTAACGGTGCCTTCCACAATAAATCCTCCACAGAATGAGGTGAAGAGGTCAAGACGGGTCAAGATACGTAACATTCACAGCTGGTTGCATTAATCCATTTCTGAGAACTCGAGAACATATTCTGGTTGCCAAAAGCACTACTGACAACTAATATGGCCTACATATTTAGTTCTCACACCACCCTACCCCCTGTTTGTTTCTCAACCCCGCCCCCCCCCCCCACATACCCCCCGCACCCTCTTTACGAAAACTTTAAAGTGCTAACCTTCTTAATATACCGCTGACTGTTTACACCCTGTAATTCAATACCTAAGTCTAAGGCAAGGCTTCTCAAACACCTATTTACGACCCCTATACCCCTTTAACCCTTGGAAATAATGTATAACACGGGGTATAAAGATATTTAAGCATTTAACGGAGATCATTAAAATTCAATCAACAAATAAGTCCTTAATAGTGTCTTTGTGTGTGTGGTGACGGGGTAGGGGGGGGGGGGTACGCAATTTAGTTGGTTAATCCTTCAGAGAGGAGTTGCATTTGTCAATTTTAGAATTGCTGTCTACGCAACCAATTCACTCCCCGCCCCGAGAAAAATGGCGCACGTGTTTAAAACACGTGTTCATTACAGACAGTTAAGTAGCCATATTGTCTATTTGATTTCAACTTCCACATTACAGACAGTTAAGTAGCGATATTGTCTATTTGATTTCAACTACCACATTACAGACAGTTAAGTAGCCATATTGTCTATTTGATTTCAACTTCCACATTACAGACAGTTAAGTAGCGATATTGTCTATTTTATTCAACTACCACATTACAGACAGTTAAGTAGCCATATTGTCTATTTGATTTCAACTTCCACATTACAGACAGTTAAGTAGCGATATTGTCTATTTGATTTCAACTTACAAATTACAATTCTATACAATTCAAGGGGCAGAATTCAAGCTTCGAGTTCAACAAAACTTGTGAATTTAATCAGTACGATAAGGTATTCATATCCTCTACTCGACAGCTGATAAGGTTGTTAGGCAGTAGTTGTCGCCCTTATTTTGGACGTAACTACGCAAGCAAGAAATCGCAGTCAAACGATCAACAATAAAACAAAGCGTAGAGAGAAAAATCAATTGAAATAATAATCAATTTAGTAGTTGCCGTGTTTTCAATGAAATTTCTACCTGTGTGGACTTGATCGCTAAAAGCGCTAACAGTGCAACATTCGTTGAAATCTAAATAATTAACACGTGTGTATGCGGTAGCCCGCAACACAAGCAGGACTGCCCCCCCCCCCCCCCCCCCCCCCCCCCCCCCCCCACACACACACACGCACGCTCTTTGATCCGGCTGAATTAACTAGGCCTTATAAACTTGTATTCAGACAATACACTAGTCTCAGATCTATATAACCTGTATATTAATAAACACTTCAATTGTTCTTTTGGTTTTAAATTTAAATTTTTGGAGCCTTTTGTGTATTTGTTATTCTCGGCCCTTTTAAAATTGTATGGACCACAAACCCATTAAAGATCTTTATCATTTTTTAAACACGTACAATTTCAGCAAAACTATTACACAGAAGGAGCTATTTTTAACTTTAGTAAACTGAAACTGAAATAAAATAATAAATGAACGAACGTCTACGCAACTAGTCTTATTCAATGTTGACTCTATTAAATATACAAAAAGGCGAATTAAAAAAAAAAGAATTGCTTTGAGTAAGTTGAAGAATGCTAAAGGCTTAGGGCAAGCGTCAACAAAGGGAAACTACTCTCGCTGCTTGATTATAACGGCCGTCAATATTTCTTAGCAACAGCGTTGAGCAAAAGATAAACAATTGTTGCTCCGCGGAAACACAATTAGAG